TAGGGGATTTAAGACTGCCTGCTCACAGGCTGTCCTGCTACAGAAGGGTCTTGTTCAAAGCAAAGATGACCTGAAAGAGAGGAGAGAAAACATAGGTCCCTTTAAGTTCACTGACACAGCAATTAGTATCTGACGTCTTATTTCTTTCGTCTGTGTTTGACAATTGCCTCTCTTCTGTGACACAAATTCCTGGTCAGCATCCAAAGAAAAAGAGGACATTTCTGCCCAAGTCAGCCCCCATTAGGTCACCTGAGGCAGTGCCTTAACAGGGACAGAACTCTCCCATAAAAACGACCAAGAAGTGAGAAGACCCAAAGAGCTGGCTTGTGAGGAACAGCTAACGCAGCTTGGGAGGGGGCGCAGGGAGAGACTGGGGCTCATAGATAGATGCACATACCAATGGGTTTCAATACACGAAGGACTGGACAAGAATATATATACAATATACGTGAGTCTTTTCTAACCATCAGTGCAGCATTTTCCAGCTAATGGATTCATTGGGTCCATGGGAAGTTAATAAAAGTTATTGTGGGGGAAAAAAGGGGATATGAGGGCTAATAAAATTAAACAAGTTTTATCTGTACAGAACTTCTTAGAGTCTTTGATCCATTAATGTGTGATGTGTTCCTCCCCAAGGCGGGAGAGAGTATGCTGGGTCTCTCAAACTTAGTTGAGGAAAACATCACAAGAGAAGAATTTGCTGGAACATCTTTTGGGAAAATCTAGATTCAAGGAGTTTTACAAAGCAGTGAATTCTTCATGGTTCTGGAGAGTTTGGTCAGAGGAGAAGTAGGGATTCCGGCACCAGGTGAGAACTGAGGCTGGCTACCCTCTACAAGCCCCTAACAACACTACTGAAGATGCTGTGTCATTTTCTCTCTCTCCCCAGGTATGATACACACCACCTGTGACAGCTGCGCTTCCACAAACTCCCCCAGGAAATCAGTGTACAGGATACTGCCTCTCCCACTTTGAAATAGCCCCTCCCACTTTGCTCATATGCAGACAGGCAGTGAGTCTGAGTGCTCTGACCATAAAGAAAAAAATTTCTATTCTCCAGAGACCATACAGGTCTCAAGTCAGTAAATGACCCTATGCAGCCCAATCCCCTTTCTTTCTCCTTTCACACTTTCTCCTCATTTTGAGTGAAGAGACCAGAGGTTTGATTTGCTTCCCACAGGCCACTGCGGCATGGACCTCCTTTCACACCTCTGCCTCCCTAGGTTCCTATCCCTATCATGAGGACTTAACCAAAAGGGAGGTGGCAGGTCTCTCTTTGTAAAATACCCTCCTCTTCTCTCCTCTCTTCGATTGACAGGTCCCACTTCTCCCTGACAGAGGCACTTCCAGCCTCTTCTGGAGGTCAGCTCACCCAAAATCTGCAGACCAGCCTCTCCTGTCTGGGGACAGGAACTTCTGGGCCATATTCCCATCCTCCCCACCCCTCTGCTAGTGACATGAGTTGACAGAGAGGCAAATACACCCAGGCACATGGCCACAAATTATGGTCTAAGTAAGGAAACTCAGAGAGCTGAGCACCTCGATTCAAAAACTATATCATCAGCACCTCTCCACCCCCACTGAGAACTGCTAAATAACTTTAGATTCATTGGAGGAAAAAAACCTTTGGAAGGGAGAGGGACCTTATGAAGCACCTCCCAGGTATGCCAGGCCCCAGGCACATTCTGTCTCAATCAAACTCCTCTAAACCACATCTGATTGACTCACAATACCTGCTGATGGATTTCGCTATTCTAAAGGCATTCAGAAGGAGCCCAGGTTACCTGTTGCTAAAAGACCTGCAAGAGTTCCCGTTGATTCCGAAATGTTTTTCTTAAGGTGTTCTTGATATTAGAAAAGACTGAGCCATTTATTTTAATGGACATACCAGCCATTTATTTTAATGGCCACATCACAGATTAAATAAGAGCTTTGTTTATTCAGACCTTTCTCAATATATTTCATATTCAAATGTCATTCACCTTAAAGACATTTCACCTGTTCATGAGAGGCTTACAAAGCCTTGCTAGGATGTTTGTCTTTGCTTTTTATGTTTACTTTTGATGATTAAGCTTTTTAAAAAAAGTTTGCATACCAAAACTGAGCCAAAACATTAACGAATTTTGAGTGCTTACTGAGTACCAGGCCCCTGCTAAGTGCTTTGCTTATGTTCTCATTTAATCCTCCCAATATCCTAAGGTAGTAAATATTGTTAAATCTATTTTAAAGATGAAAAAACTGAAGCAAATAGTAGTTCGATATCGTTTAAGGTCACATAGCTTAGTAAACCAAGATAGAGATTTGAACCCAAACAGTCAATACCGGAGTCTAAGATCTTCACCACTTTGCCGTACATGAGGTATGTTATTACCAAGTAGCAGTAATTGGCTTTTGCCATGTGGTCTAATTTAAATTATTAGACTTAAGTTAAAGAATTAGGAATCTGAAATTAGGGAGAAAAAAGGAGGGAGGATGGAAAAATGGGGGGGGGCGGGGGAGCAGAGGAAGAGAGAGAGAGAGAAGGGAAAAGGAAGACAGAAAGGGAGTGAGAATGAAAAGTGTGCTAAAGCTTTTTGTAAACTAAGATTAAGAGTAACACACACATTATATAGATAATCCAGAAAACAGAAAAGTATAGAAAGAAGTGGTAAGCTGCCATAATTTCAACATGCAGTTTTAACTGCATTTAACAACTTATAAGTATATTATGAGTATTATTTCCCTTCAGTTTAGTCTATACATTTTATACAGTTGATTATATTATAGATAAAATTTAGCATCCTGCACTTCTTTTTTGACAGTGTAGGCATTTCCTCACATGACTAAAGCCTTGCTTAGCTTCAAATATTATGTGATGTGCCATAATTTAGCTAAACTTTCTATTTCAAATATTAGGATCTTTATTTAAAAAAAAAAAAAAAAAGATCATGAATAACACACCATCAGGAGCATCTGCAAGCAGAAAGTTTTTCTGTCTTCAAATTATTTCTTCAGTATAGATTCCTGAGACCAGGGCTATTGAATCAACAGGTATGAATCATTCAAAAGTTTTTAGAAACACTTATTTATTTTTGCTTTTTTAATAAGACAATTTTGATTCTCCATTAGAACTTAAATACAGAAAGAATTGAGTAACACAAACAATCTCCTAAAGCCAATTATATAAAGAGGCCCCATGGATGCAGCCCCAGCAGTAGGCCCAGGACACCGTACTGCTGTGACTGCACGCCCACTATCCCTTCTACTTCGAAGGCTCTTCCTACCCTTCTCTACATGGCAAACATACACCTCTCCTTTGAAATCACACTAGAGAGTCTCCTCCTTGATGAAGCCTCCATCACTAACTCCCAGGCACAGTGAGTCCTATCTCCTATGGCTAAGGGCATCTTGTGACTAACACACCACTAATGGCATTACCCGGTTTTGTCACCTCGAGAGCATCAACTGTGTCCAACTCACCTCTGTATCTTTACCATCTGGTACACAGGACTGGTATACTGTAAACGTTCAATAAGTTTTGATTTAATTAATAAATTTTAGAAATGATTCCAAAGACCTAAAGTCTGAGGCAAGATAAATACTCATAAAAGAAGCCTGATAAAATCTCACTGGCCAAAACAAATAAGGAAGCATTTCCAGTAAAGCCAGACACAACAAATTTATTAGGAAAGTAAAATTGGGGTGGGGGGGTGGTGCTGTGCCTGAGCCTTAGAAATTAACAGAATCTCCTAACAGGGGAGTGAACTCTTACCCTAGAGACTCACATTTTATTTGAGCTCACTTCTCAACCACTTTGGAGGTCTGCATTAGGGCTTGTTCCTTGAGTATTCGTCCAGACCAAGCCTCCATTCTCTCAAGTTCTCATATTCTCTCCTTGTATCAGTCAAGATCGATAAGCTATGTCACAAATCAAACCTGAAATCTCAGTGGCTCAGCAAATGTGTACAGCTTGCTCACACAAAGTCTGAGTGGGTCAGTGGCTCTTTCATCCATCTAGTCCATTAGGAATCCGATTTTGTTTACCTGCGACACTGCCATCCCAACATATAGTTTCCAGGGATGCCATAGCAAGGGAAAGGAGTGAACATATACCAGCTCTTAAATGCCTCAGCCTGGAATGCCCACATTTTATTGGCTAGAAGTAGTCACATGGCCTTGCCTAAATCCTCGAGGGGGCTGGGAAATGTGGTCTTTCCATTTGCCTAGGAAGGAGTAAAGAATTTAAAAGATGTGAGCACTAATAGTTTGATTACAACTCTCTAACCTTAAGGTAACTCCCATCCCTTAAAATAAACCCAAGAAAAATGAAAGACCCTTTATTTCTTCCTCATCACCATAGCAACAAAAGGTTAACTAGTATAAATGTGTCATTTCTTATACTTGTCCTATGAAATTATAAACCTAAAAGCTTTGGTGAATATCTCACAGACCATCTGAAATTTACTGCCTAATTGTGGGCAGACCCAGTCTTCTCTCTGCCTTGGGAGTTTTGCCTTTGCTGTTCCCTTCACTTGGCACACATGGCCCATACAGCTTCTGCCCACAGACATTTGACCATCATTAGCACTCAGAGCAGCTCTCTTTAGATATCAGACACTTCCCTATTTAGAATTACACATTCTCCTTGGGAGAAGATGGACATCCGGGTGGTGACCTAACCAAAGATGCTCATCAATGACAGACTGTTGGCCTGTGGTCTTCTAACACCAGGAGGCAGCAGTGGTTGAGAGTGAGGGACATAATGGGAAGGAAAGCAAGAAGGGGAGCAAAATGCCAATTGTGATCCTGGGTTACCCAAGAATTCTAGAAACTTGAGTGGTTAACCAACCAAGGATCATCAAAAATGAGCTAGATGATGAAAGGTATCATGAGAGTTCATTCTGTGTCAACTAATAAAAGATAGAATCAAAGCAAGTACAGTGCTAAATGTTCCTGAAGTTTATTCATTTATTCCTTCTTCCTTCCATTCATTAATTCAGCCAATAAATAGTTATTTGATGCCTGCTAATCTAAGCACTAAAGGTGCAATACCCCTTGCCCTTGTGGGTTTTTTTACTAGCACAGAAATTT